GCTAGACAACTACTCTAACACAAAGCTACACACCCACCCCTCACTGGAATTCTAGGCAGGTACTCTACCACTGAGCTATATTCCCAGCCCTTTTTTTTTTTTTTTACTTTTGTTTTGAGACAGGGTCACAATATATTACTCAGGTTGGCTTAAACTAACCCTGTAGCCTGAAGAGGACTTGAACTTGTCATCATGCTTCAAACTCCCAAGTAGTTGGCATTACAGACCTGTGCCACCAGGCCAAATTTTGGTGACTTTGAAGTTACATTTTTCAAAGAGTATCGAAGGAATTTTTTCTTTTAGTAAACGAAATGCTCATGTGTTTTTTGAGGAAGCATTGAAGAGGATTACAGGCTAATAAGATAAAAACCCAAATCATGAGCCCAGGGCCTGGTGGTGTACCCCTTTAGTGATAGCAGGAGGCAGAGACAGGCAGATCTCTGTGTGTTCAAGGCCAGCCTGGTCTACATAGTTCCAGGCCAGCTGGGGCTACAGAGGGACCCTGTCTCGAAAAAAAAAAAAAAAATGGGGCTGGAGAGATGGTTCAGTGGTTAGAGCACTGACTGCTCTTGCAGAGGACCCAGGTTCAGTTCCCAGCACCCACGCGGGGGTTAACAACCTCTGTAATTTCAGTTCCAGGGGATCCAACACCGTCTTCTGATCTTTGCAGGCACTGTATCATAAAGGATCTTGGGCACTTACACACATGTAGGCAATACACCTATACATATAAAAATTAAAATATTTTTTAAAAAAAACACAGATCATTGGGGCTGGAGAGATGGCTCAGCGGTTAAAAGCACTGACTGCTCTTGTAGAGCTGGGTTCGATTCCCAGCACCCACATGACGGCTACAAACCATCCTTAACTCCAGTTCCAGGGGAATCCAATGCCCTCTTTTGACTTCCACAGCATTGCATGACACAGGTATACTCACATACATTCAGGCAATACACTCGTACACATAAAATAAAAATAATAAAATATTTATTTTAAAAAACACATCACAAGTCTCAAAGGCATCCTTACTGTACAAGTTCACGAGAAAGACAAGATGGTTTTTTTTGTTTGTTTGTTTGTTTTTTTGGTCAAGCCAGGAATAATGAACTAAAGGCATGGGGGGAGGGGGAGCAGTAGTGTTAACCGGATCACAATTAATATAAAAAATTGTATGGAGAATGTATACTGAACCGGTGATATTACTTCTTATTCTGGTTATCTACTCTTGCCATATACATTGCCCCACTAGGAAGGATATCAACAGCTCTCTTAAGCGAGGGATCTGGAGAAGAGGTACAGGAAGGGGTTGATTATTGGGGCACTTGGATACTAGGAGCGTTGAAGACAATAGGGCAGGTGCCTGTCCAATTAGAAGATAGCAATAGGCATTAGTTCCACGTAGGAAGAAGGTCTCTGAGGAGTTAAGGAACATGGTCTGTTTAGGTAGAAAACTAAGTGGTAGACATTTTAAAAAAGGAAGTTGGAACATGAAATAGCGAGAAGTCAAGGCCATTCTAGGAGGGATTTGGTGTTGGTTGTGCTGACACTGTTCTGTTTCCCCAATGTGGGTAAAACTTTTAAGGGTCTATTAGGACACACTGTTGGTTATTAGAGAGAGAAAGAATTTGAGGGCTCTTTGAAAAAAAGTGTGATCTTACCAAGGAGACTTGTTAGGACAAGTCTGGCTTGGCTGAATTGAAAGTTTTATTTAGCATTTCATCAGATGTATCAAAAATACATGTTTGTGAGATATATTTTGTCATGGAACTGAGGGTGTTTGAAAGAGGGACAAGTGTTGTTTTTGTTCTGTCTAAGAGTAAAGTTGCATAATGAAAGGATGCCCACGGGAATGAACTGTCTTCTATGGCAGAAGACACAATAATAAAAACGGAGGCCTGGCTTAAGAGGCTGACTTCTGACAAGCCTCCACCCTGAGATGGTGAGCAAGGAGATGTGAGAAAGTGAAATTTGTGTTTCTATTTGGCAGTGAGAATACTGGAAGGAGTTAATCCTGAGAGAGAGACACAGGGATTCCATCAGAAGTATGTATGGAGGGAGATTAATCTGGTCCTTTCAAATGGAGTGGCTGAGTAAGTGCTGCCAGTTCAAATAGCAGTTAAAAACATGTAAAGCCAGCAGTCCTCTGCAAGAGATAAGTTTTATTTAAGGAATTCACCGGTCTTTGGAGAGGGGAGTTGGCTGTAGTGGCTGGGAACGGGAGTAGGAGAATAAAGAAAGTCATAAGGTTCAAAAGTGAAACCACAGAGTGATTTTAGGAAGGCAGGTAAGAAGTACAATGCTAGAGAGAGTGAAGATGAGAGGAAACCCTACATTCAGTTAGAAAAACAGTGGCATTGGGCTAAGTGGGTAAAGACAGGGGTCATACTCAAGGTAAGTGATGGCCTTGGTTCAGGAATAAGCTAAAAAGGCTCCCTGAAGGAACAGGTCTAAGATAAATTCTCTAAGTTGGGTTAGGTCTTCTAGAACATTGAGAGAATAAGAAAAGAGAGCTTGTCAAATTATGTCATAGAGTTCCAAAACTAGAGACAGGATCTTGGGTACTCATTATGGTCTGGAAGTATCTGAAGAGTGAGTTTCACTTGGGTCTCACCAGAAGAAGAGACAGCAATCTCTAAGAGACTCACAGGAATAGACCATTTGAACGTCTCGGGGAGGAATAGCCTTAACACTGGACAGATGAACCCAGGTTTTACACTTGACTGAAGTTGGAAGCATGAGCAGGACTTGATCGGGTCAGTTCTAAACATATTCCAGAGGCCTTTTACCAGTGAGAGGGTATTAAGATGGACCTAGTTTCCTGGGTTAATGTGAAGAGGTGATCCCAAAAAGGTAGAGTCAGGCTTGGGACTGTACTCTGTGACAGCTTTAATCAGCTGTCCTGATGATATGATACAACATCCCATGTCTTGCAATGCCTGAAGAAATCAGAAGATGGCATCAAATCCCCTGGAACTGGAGTTATGGATGGTTGTTAGCCACCATGTGGGGGCTGGGAATCGAACCCAGGTCCTCTGCAAGAGCAGTCGGTGCTCTTAACTTTTGAACCATCTCTCCAGCCCCAAGAAATGTCACAGGGGTACTTTAATGGGTCTTGCAATGTATAGTGGCCAACTGAGTTGGAAATCAGATAGCTTCTTGTAGGACATGTTTAACTGGAACAGTATGGCCCATGATGAGACCTTTTTCCCATGGGTCACATGGAAAGCATAGGTCAAATCTGTGTAAATGGTAAGTCTCATTCCTGCTCCCAGCTCAAGAGCTCTACTGAGTAATCAGTTCTGCTTCTGGGGCTGAAGTGGAATTAACCAGGAGAGGCCCAAGTTCTATGGCCTCTGTGAGGGTCACTCTTGTCCACTTCAAAAGTCTGTCCTGACACCGTAGAGCTGCTCCCATCTGTGGACCAGTTCACTTCAGACTGGGAAAATTGGGACTTTTGTAGATTTGGTCTAGCACTGTAGGTAAGATCAGTTGTTTATACACAGGAGTCTTGGGGTCTGGCAGGAAGGTAGGTAGCAGGATTTGAAGTTTGTGGTAAACTCTGGAGTTTGTAAGAGAAGAGTCTTGTAGATTCTGCTGTCTGAGAGCTAGTGGCAGGCCCTCAAATTGAGAATCCAAGAATCTGATGGGACATGTAAGCCATCACACTCTGTTCCAGGATTAATTTCAAGACCACCCTAACTCAGAGAGCCATAGCTGCTGGTGTCTGAAGCAGAGGGACCTGACACGTATCACCAAGTGTAATGATTTGAAAAGATAAGTGACCAGACACTGGGAGGGGCTCAAAGTTTGGGTTAAATTTTCCAGGGCTACTCGCTTTCACTCATATACATATAGAGAAAAGGGTTCAGTAACATCAAGGAGAGCTAATGATGAGGTGCAGAAAGCTACTTTAGGCGATCTAAGGCCCATGTTGCTTAAGGGGTCTAATCTAATGGATCATTCTCCATTCCCATTAAGATTTCATAGAGGGATTTAACTCTAAGACTGAACTTGGGAATCTTGGGAATTGTATGCAAAACACTGCCACATTCAAGAAGGTCCTTAGATGTTGTTTTGTGGTCGCATCCCCATAGCTAAAATGAGATCCTTGCAGTGACCAGAAAGGCTTCTTGTACCTGGCCCTTTTGTTGGGAAGATATGGGCCTCTGAGACTTGTAGAACAGTACTTTTATTTGAAAAGGGCTTGTCTGGATTGCAGATTAATAAATTATCTATATACTCAAAGAGACTACTCCCAGGAAGAAATTTAAGAGCTGGCAGG